CTAAGGGTGGACTCAATCCCCACATCCAGGTCATCAATAAAGATGTTGAATAGGACTGGGCCCATTACTGATCCCTGGGAGACACCACTGGTCACCGGATGCCAGCTGGATGCAGCTCCATTCACCATCACTCTCTGGGCCCAGTCATCCAACCAGTTTTTAACCCAGCGAAAGGTGCACCTGTCCAAGCCTTGGATTGCTAGCTTCTCCAGGAGGATGCTGTGGGAGACTGTGTCAAAGGCCTTGCTGAAGTCGAGGTTGACCACATCCACAGCCTTCCCCTCATCCACTAGGCGGGTCACCCAGTCATAGAAGGAGATGAGATTAGTCAGGCAGGACCTTTCTTTCCTAAATACATGTTGGCTGGACCTGATCCCCTGGCTGTCTTCTACATGCCACTTGATGGCACTCAGGATGATCTGTTCCATAAACTTGCCAGGCACTGAGGTCAGACTGACAGGCCTATAGTTCCCTGGATCCTCCTTCCAGCCCTTCTTGTGGATGGATGCCACATTGGCCAACCTCCAGTCATCTGGGCCTCCCCAGTCAGCCAGGACTGGTGATAAATGATTGAGAGTGGCTTAGCCTGTTCTTCCGCCAGCTCCCTCAGCACCCTAGGATGAATCCCATCTGGACCCGTGGACTTGTTGGGATCTAAGTGGCTCAGCAGGTCCCTAACTACTTCCTCCTGGACTACAGGAGGGGGATTCTGCTCTCCATCCCTGTCTACCAACTCAGGAGCCCAGTTGTCCTGAGGGTAGCTATTATTTTTTGTTAAAGACAGAGGCAAAGAAGTTGTTAAGCACCTCAGCCTTTTCCTTGTCCTCCATTACTAAGTTCCCCCCTCATCCAATAAGGAATGAAGATTTTCCCTGACCCTCCTTTTGTTATTAATGTATTTATAAAAGCATTTTTTATTATCCTTTACAAAGATGGCTAATTTAAGTTCTAGCTGAGCTTTTGCATCTCTGATTCTCTTCCTACATGACCTTGCAATATCCTTAAATACTTCCTGATTCACCTGCCCTTTTTTCCAAAGTTGATACATTCTTTTTTTTGAGTTCTTGTAATAGTTCCCTGCTCAACAAATTTATGAACAAGGAAACATTTGTATTACCTATTAAAAATAAGATTCTTTAATATAAATAGCATCAGAATTGGCTAACAGGCTAGTGACAACTCCATTTTAAATTGCATCTGTATTAAATTCTTTATTTTATTGTTCCGGAGTTTCCTTGTGAAGCATTTTCACCTCTTTTGTACTAGTAACATGTGACATGTCATACAAGCCCTCTATTCTCAAAGTATGAAAGTCCCACTATAAAAGCTGCTCCTGGTCCTGAGAAATACAGTATTTCATTGTTTGCTACAAAAATGTCCTGCTTCCAAAGCTGTGACTTCTGCTTTTTCTAATTCTCCCTTCTTTAACTGTACCTATCTTAGCATGAGATGTGGCCTTTTGTACAGTGAAGAAAACACAATGAACAGTGAAAACAGTGAAAAATTCCAGTGGTGAAAGAGCAAAAAAGGCATTTCCCATAGGAACAATTACTAACTAGATTCTGAGGAGTTATTAATCAATTCAGTTTAATGTTTTTTCTGTACATATTTTTCTGTAAATATTTTGGAATACACTTACTATTCCTCACAAATCAAATAATGGATTAGAATTCTGCAAGCTAGTTTCATAAAAACAGCCTCCCACCATAAATTAAATTTTTAAAACAAAAGAAATTTAAAAAAAAGATTAAGATTTACTTATTGAGGAACACCTGTTTTAGATAAACACATTTGAAAACACAGCAGGGTTTAACACTTTCCTAAAAAATTTAGTTTTAGGGTTTTTTTCTGTTTGCAAATCTGCTCCTTTTCTTACTCTCCATAAAGGTGAACTGCTTTTGAAAGGCTGTGGCAACACAGTTGAAGCAAATGCTTCTGAAAGCTTTCAGTAGCATTTTTTCAATTTACAAAATGTGAAAACATCTTTCAGTTGGTAAAAAAAATAGGCTAATATATAAACATTTTTAAAAAATTCTTTTGTGAAGGAATGTAGCGAAATTACCCAGGCTCATACCCATTCACTCCTCAGATACTGATAGCTATCTCCTTTTCACACAAACCTCTCTATATTAACCCAGAGAAATACATCCATGGCCAGCTGGCCCAAGCAGAATAGTCATTCAGCTTTCCCAAATTTAATCTACCATAAATTACCATTTGGACAGCATTATAAAGAAATTGAAGCATACAAGGAATAAACTATAATTTCTTTTTATATCAAAATGTACTCTTTAAAATGTGTTTGGCACAGTACTAAATCATAGTTTATACTAAATATTGCAGGATACAATAAAACCCTGGAGTTAACTTGTGTTTACACCCTTTAAGGGGTAAAAATAAAAAGATACCAATTATTCAGGTCAGCCTATACAAACTGTATAAACAATATTTTATGTCTTGTTTTGAAAACCGCTAATATAGTAAATTTTACATAAAATAATGCAAAATAATATAAATTGATTTAAACAGGTCTTTACAGCAAGAAATCCAAATGGAAACAAAGTAACAAAGAGAAGTAAAAAAATTTATTGCAGTATTTGTTCCACCAGATTTGCTGGGGACTCCTTTTCTCGTATTATTTCAGGATGACCTAATACAACAAAATCTACATTTACAAAAACTGCTCCTGCCGATAGGTCATAGATACTGCATGCTTTTCATTTCTTGTCTTGTCTGGTCTTGTCTTGTCATCTATTTATTTTTCTTCAACATAATAAATTATATATCCAGGACATTCTGCCATTTTACAGCCTGGAAAAACGATGCTTCCTTGGAAACTGGACTAAGCTAAAGAAAGCCATCCGCTGCTAGGTTAAACTCCAAGAACACTTTATTAAGAACATTAACAGACTAATTTCCAACATTCACTTTTTAATTTTTTTAAACAGAAAGGTTTTTTTTCAAGATATAAACAATTTTTTGTTAAGCTATAATACAGTGGGAGTAAAAATGAACTGAGAAGTTTCTGCTGCACAACAGCGAAGGAAGCTCCCACATAAATGTTTACCAAACATTTCCTTTTTTCCTGTGTTCCAGGTTCCATTCTTACTCTTCATTTAACTGATTTTTTTTTTTTTGCCAGAAAGTTGATATTTCAAGTTTTTCTGTTATTTCAATTCCTGTAAATTTGGCTGCATATACAAATTAATTAGCTGGAAGTTCCATCCTTGGCAGCATACAGCAATCGTAAAGTCTGAACAACTTTATTAGTCAGTTTATTAGCACTTGTTAGAGCAATTTTTTTGTAAATAATGTCTGACTCTTTAATAGTGTCTACCCAAGGCACCAGTTTGCGGCCATCACGGCGCTTAGCCTCAGTCCAGGAGCCACTGTAGGAGCCTGCCATCCACTGAACACTGAAGCCATTGCTGGTTTTCTGTACTACTCTTGCAATTTGTGGTCGGTCTTTGTACTTTGGACAGCAAATAGCGATGACATCCATGACATCAACACTTTCATTCATCTGTGCTGCCAACTCCGTAGAGTCTGAATTTCGTTTTGACCTTTTCAATGACTAAAACATTGGGGGGAAAAAAGACCAAGTGTTACACAAAAGAACTTCAGTAAAATTATTGCTTTTATTGCTTTTAATCCCTTGACGCCGGGAGTTGGGATTTCCCGGCACACATTCCATTGCCGGCAATGAGACGCACCGTGACCGCCAGCGCCAAGGGGTTAACATATCCTTGTAAAACCACATACTCTTAATTTGTACCCGTGTCTTTATCTCTTATTGATATATAAAATTATATACACACGAATCATAAAGCTACATAAAATCTTGGCAACAATAAAAAGAATAACACACAGTACATTCCAAAGGAAAATTAATAACTTTTTATATGGGATAAATCTTATTTTCTAGTTATTTGTGTTTTTTTAATTGTCTTTTCTGTTAAACTTTCTACAAAAGCTGTATAAATGGTTAAGTAGAGAATCTCTATCAACAAAATGCTTTCTTTCATGTGGATTACATTACTTGGTGTACATTTAATATAATAGACTGACATTTATAAGCACATAAAAATCATTTTACGTAATACGCTGCGAAATACGTTGACTCCTCCTCCGCCTCACCCCTGAAGTGCCTCCTCCTCTATCCTCCCCATCACTTTCATCGTCCTCTGTCTCAGCTGCATTGTTTTTAGGGCTGCCTCCTCCAAGCAGCGAGGTAATTGCTTTGTTCCGAGCATTTGTGCTAGCTGACACCTCCCCATCTTCTTCCTCTTCATCAGGATCCAAATGTTCCATAAGGAGCTTGAACTATAAAACAAAACAACAGATCAGTCCACATTTTAACTTTAAAAACAGACATTCATATCACATAGCATATTAAATAAAAAGCAAATTAAAAGAAAAAGAAACAGGATAAAACAAAAGGCAGACAACTTCAAGCTTCAACAGCATGTGTTTTGTTCTACAAACTTTTTACTTTCATTTTCTACTAGATATGTACAAGCTTTCTTCCTGTGTTTTCAAAATTGCAAGTTTTCTCTAGTTAATATTTTAAAGAATTGGGGGGGGAAGAAAAAAAAAGAAAAATACACTAGATCTATTCTCGATTTCTATGATGGAAACAGTTGGGGATAAAGTGAACAAGTTATATAGTAGAGGTATTTAAGATGGATACCAGAAATTAGAAAATACTCTGTAAAGATCAATATATTTTACTTGAAATTAATTTTTATTGTGTTCAACTACTTCAAGTTTATACTGTGTTACCTAGTTTGAAAGGATTTCAGATTTTCTGCAAAGCAACTTTACTTACATCTAAGTACTGTTTTACTATACTCCTCTTCACTTCTTCAGTGATCTTGGAATTAGCCATATCACTCCGTAGAAAATCCAGAGTTTGTTTTGGATGGAAATGAACTCCTGTCTTCCTGTTTATCGCTTTATCATAAACTTTTGCAGATTCTGATGGAGAATATTTCTGAATTTTACTGTTTAAAGAAAACAAAAGGGAAGAGCTTTTAAGAAAAGCTCAAAGGAATTTCAAGGAAAATATTTTTAAGTCTTCAATGTAAGTATTTATATTTAATCTTTCCATATACAATATACATCCTGGTAAGAAATTAAATTGCTTTTTCAAAGCCAAAGTTTCACTTCATTCAACATACATTTATGATTTTTCTCTTATACAAATCTATTGCTTAAACAATTATTAACAATCAACTAAAAAAAACCCCCAACCAACTTCAAAACTTAATCCTTACAAAGAACTCACTATATAACAAGATAGCCTATTATCTAAATATTCTTACCTATCAGAGAATCCACAGAGGTTCTTTAAATGCTGTTTCAGCATCAAAAGTAATAGTATGCCTTGGGAGACATTTGCAAATTCAATTAAAGGAGCTGAATTTTCTGGTAAACATTTCATTACAGCATTTATATCATTTTCTTCATCAGAATCTGAATCAGAGTCTGCTCGTTTCCGTAACCTCCGAGGCTTAGAAGCTTCCTCCTCACTTTCACTACCGCTGTTACTGTCACTCTCAGTCTCCTCATCTGATGAAGGCTTTCTTTCCTTTTTTTTGTCTTTCACCATAGACTGTGAGACAGGGAAGTTAACACACATTCCAAAATTAGGTTAAGTAGCATCATGTACATTTCTAAAAAATATTTCGAGAATAATTATTGGCTTAAATTAGGGAGAATTCCCTGAACAATGTTATGAATTAATAACTTGATATTAAAAGATTAAAATTATTTATGTCAAAAAGACACTGAATTAAAACCCAAGGAGCACTGAAAAATTGATCCATACTCCACATTTTTTTGGAAAGTTACAGAAGGACCTGAAGCAATAAATACTCCACTGACATTCTTAAAAAGACTTGTCCTGGTTTGAGCCAGGATGAAGCCAATTTACCTTTTTACTGATTTTTTTTTTCCTTCACCAATCTTTCTTTTAACTAGTAACAGTGTGTTCTAGCTAGAGCTGATAAGACACCGGAATGTTTTTGTAACTGCTGGGTCTTCAAGGTTGCATCTTTACTCTGCCGGCTCAGACACTACAAGGAGACCTATGACCCCCCCCCC